AATGTATTGTTTGGAAGTCATATAATTTTAAAACCTCAAAATGCCAATATAGAGTGCTTATAAATATCCCCTAATGATCAATTTAAGGAAAATAAGACAAAAAAAATTTAATAGACTTTTTACTTACAAAGATTATCTCTGTATGAATATCACAATTTTGATTATTGCCATCATGACTCATTAAAATCTACTTATTGTATTTTTACTGCATTCTATGGTTAGGAAAAGAATTTCCAGTGAGAGTATCAAATGAATGTTCAGAAATTGTGCTATATCAAATAACTCTGATGAATGAAAATCAGTTACATAAAATCACTAAGTTATTTATGAAGACAAACGTGATAAAGAATCATGTGAAAAATACTGAGAACTATTCTGTTTCTACCATAACTTCTTTAGCTTTACAAGACTGATTAGCCAAACACCTAAAATTGAATATATCAGAGTTAGCTAAAACCTTTTTGAACTTTTGTGTTGGAAAGGGAAGAGACAGTTTTGTACATGGACATAGAGCAGTGGTGGTGAACTGGTGAACTTAAGGCACGTTATTTTTAAAATAAAAGATACTAATGTATTCAGGTTTAATTGCAGTGTTGGCACTTTGCAATTAATAGTGGATTTTCAACTGTAGTTTGGGCACTTGTCTCTGGAAGGTTCACCAACACTGGCATAGAGGGTGTCTTCAGTGCTAACACTGTAAAACTCACAGAATAGGCTGAGAGGAAACAGTACCAGACCATCTGGTTTAAGCTTAAACATTTTTAGTGTGGAAGCCCAGCAATTAACTAGCTCTTCAGATATTCCTCTTGTGTGCTTCCTCACTGCAAACCACCTTTGATTTACCTTATCTTCATCTTTAGCGCGATGAGCCTTACAGACATGTAAAGGAAATCTGACCACTTCACTGTTAGACAAAAGCTGGTGTGTTCTGTTTTGTCCTGGTCACTAAATCTCTGTCCAAAAGACCTAACAATACTTTAATACTTTTCTGTTGAACAGTGGACTGTGTAACAAGGGAAAGTAAGAAACAAAAAAATAGGAAACTTGTCAATTTGAGCAAAAGCTGATTATCAATTACCGTACAGTAGCTCAAAAACTGAGTCATACTTGTCTTCAGAAATGTCTAAATATTTATAATTAATTTCAAGGTAAAAAGTGTTTTTTTTAATTTCTGCCCAAATATTATAACTTATATTTACAGAAAATAGTTAAGCAAATTTACACAATAGAATTGCATATTCCTAATGGTTTTTCTGAGGTAAACAGTATTAATTCTAAATGAAATCAATGAAATTTTGTCAATTAATACTTAATCTGTTGCAGGTTGACATCCAGTTTTTCCAACACCATTTATTAAAGAGGCTATTTTTTCTCCACTGAGGATGGTCAGCTACTTTGTCAAAGATGAGGTAGCTGAGTACATCTGGGTTTGTTTTTGTGTCTTCCAGTCTGTTCCACTGATCCTCAGGCCTATTTCTTTGCCAGTACCATGCTGTTTTTATCACAGTGGTTTTGTAGTATAGTTTCAAATTGGGAATTGTTATACCCGGTGCCATGTGTCTGTTGCCTAAGATGGTTTTTGCTATTCTAGGTCTCTTATGGATCCAAATGAATTTTTGGATTCTTTTTTCTAGTTCTGTGAAATATAGTGTTGGAATTTCAATTGGCATTGCATTGAATGTATATAGCAGTTTTGGTAGTATGGCCATTTTCACTATGTTGATTCTTCCTACCCAGGAGCAGGAGATATCTTTCCATTTTTTTATATCCTCTTCAATTTCTTTTTTCAGAGTGCTGTAGTTTTCAGTGTAGAGATCTTTTGCTTCTTTTGTTAGATTGATTCCTAGATACTTCATTTTTTTGGATGCTATTGTAAAAGGAATTTTTTCCCTTATTTCTCTCTCCGTGAGTCTGTTATTTGTGTATAAGAAGGCTATTGATTTTTGGGTATTCACCTTGTATCCAGATACTCTACTGAATCTGTCAATTAAGTCGGGAAGTTTTTTGGATCTTCCATGTAGAGTATCATATCATCAGCAAATAGTGACAGTTTAACTTATTCCTTTCCTATCTTTATTGCATTAATTTCTTTCTCTTGTCTAATTGCTGTGGCTAATGTTTCCAAAACTATATTGAAGAGAAGTGGTGATAATGGGCATCCTTGTCTTGTTCCTGATTTTAACATGAAGGTTTTCAGTTTTGGGCCATTTAATATGATGTTGGCTGATGGTTTTTCATAGATAGCCTTTATTAAATTGAGGTATAGATCATCTATTCCAATTTTTTGCAGGGTTTTTATCATGAATGGGTGTTGAATTTTATCAAATACTTTTTCTGCATCTATTGAGAGGATCATATGGTTTTTGTTCTTGACTTTGTTAATATAATGTATTATATTTATTGACTTTTGTATGTTGAACCACCCTTGCATCTCTGGAATAAATCCGATTTGGTCAGGATGGATGATCTTCTTAATAATCCTCTGTATTTTGTTCGCTAGTATCTTATTTGCCCATCCGTTGGAAACTGGATAAAGAAGATGTGGTTTTTCTATAAAATGGAATATTACTCAGCCATGAAGAATGAGAAAATAGATTCATTCATAGGAAAATGGATGCATATCGAAGATATACTCCTAAGTGAAATAAATAAGTCACACTTGTGTAAATACCGAATAGTTTCCCTGGTATGAATAATCTGCAATAAAACATAAGATCCTAATAAGATTACTGTCATTTAGAAATGAGAAGAAAGGAGCTAAAGGTGTAGGGAAGGTGGGATGGGTAGGGGAAGGGTAATAAGGGAAAAGAAAAAATGTGAGATAATGCAAAGATGAAAATAAAGTGTTTGTAGATGGGGAGGGGAGGAGGGGGTGAAGGGAAGGCAGGGGCAAGGGGAAAAAATGAGAATCAAGACTTGTCATGTAGAGGTACAAGACCCCAACAATGAATGTAACTGTACTGTATTCCTAAAATGTACCAATAAACTCAATTAAAGCTGAAAAAAATACTTAATCTATCACTATGTGCCAGTTACTGTTCCAAATGTCTTAATCTGGAGAATCTAATCCAGTAATTTTTACTTACTGTCCTCCAATCACTGATAACTCTGGAGATGAGAGGTTAAAGCAGCATACCCAACCTCACAGGGAGGGAGCAAGAATTTCAACTGGGCAGTGACACAGGCTGATCCATAGTGTGACATGGCCACCTATAGACAGAGAGCCTCTGACATGCTCCATTTGTGAACAGTTGAACATGCTTTATTGTTCGTGTTAGAGGAGGCTTATGGTAACCATCAAGCCAGCAAAAGGTCCTGTTTGTAGTTTTATTTTTTGGTTGAACTATTACCCTTGTGCTAGTTATTTCCATTAGAACACATAATCTCAGTAAAATTTTAAAAACTAAGGTTGTATAAACCTTTGTTTTCATTACATAATTCTTACTGTTTGATACACACACACACACACACACACAGCAACTTTTTTTTTTCTTGGCAGTGCTGGGCATCAAACCTAGGCCTCATTGAAGTGCCCAACCACTGAGTTACTACTGAGCCCTAATGTTAAGGCCTTAATCTCCCACTTTATTGACAATGAGATGAGGAGTCAAAGCTGAATTATGTCCAGGATCATATTTAGCACTTAAGGACTGAAATTCAGAACTTCTAATTTTAAACACTGTAAAAAAGTGTGAAGTACCCTTTCAGAACAATTAATCAGATTTTACAAATACAAAATCTACCAAGCCTATTAATCTCACATTCTTAAACTATAAAGGAATTAGATTACAACCTGACTTCGCTCAATCTAAACTCTAAAATTTTCTCTAATTATGAATAACTGACTTTAAAAGAGGAAAATTTTGTAGATCAGTCTTGCTTACAGAGTATTTTTCATACAGTCATCCACTAGAACATATACACCAAAAATAACATGTAATTATTACATTTTCAATTACTTTATTTTAGAAAAACAAAGGTTTACAATTGATGCCCATGGCAGGGTATCATGAATTCAACAAGTGAGTAATACAGACTTTTAAAAACCTTTATACATTAGCCCAAAGTATAAAATTATTTTCTGCCCACACCTGGACTCAAACACATTTGGAAAAAATATATATTTGTAAAAATAAAAATAGCATATCACTACCATCAATCATTAGACTCAATATTCCTTACTGGTTTATTTGACCTATTTCTGCATAATAACCATTTTTTTCCCAGTCCTACCTCCATGTCATATGAAACTATTTAAATTATCTTCTGCAAATCTAAACCAAAACAGCTCCCAAATCTAAGACACATCATTAAAAATAAAATCCAATAAACAGAAACAATACAGACAGATGTGTTAACTACTCACACTGACCATTAGTTCAACCTCTAAACATTTGGCATCTTAATGTTATTTCCAAACCAGATAACAGGAAGCTATACTTGAGAAAGAAAATGAAAATTTATGTCAAATATGCCTCAAACAAGGTTAAAATAATAGCTAGAAAAATACTGACACAAACCATGAAAGGATTGTAAGCTATTATTATGTGGTACAAAGCATAACTTATAAAAACAGGTACTTTTTCTGTGAAGTATCCTTAAATATTGTCTGAGCACCAGATTCAGCAACAGTAAGGATCTAAAATTCTGAGTTTTAGAAACCAGAGAACTTTGTTGCAACTGAAAAGGAAACTGGAAATCAAATTTCCTGAAAGATACCAATATTGATATGTAATCGTAACCTTCATCAATGCTGCAGAATGTCATTCTAAAATGCTAAGGTATTAAGAGATCTCTTCTATTCTGAAGTAATTTTCTCTGAAATAATAAACTGCCTTTGGAGTAGAGCTCTGACAATGCATTGAAAGGAAAAGTATAATAGTGAACAAACTGTAAAAGTGTGTTTGGTGAGCAATTTGACAATGTAAAAAAAGAAGAAAGAAAATTCCAAAATAGAAATGATTAAAAAGCAAAAGTTTAATACAAAAAGAAAAAAATATTCATTTACAAACCACCTAAACATTTTATTTTCCCAAGAAACATACTTTAAAAGTACAAAGAGAACATGAGCCAAGAGTACAGAGCTGTGCAAAGGTTAACAGAGAACTAAGGCATTCATTTACTTAGAATAGTATCAAAGAATATAAAGGATGATTGCTGAGTTTTTATTTACTGAATGCATTGAGTTTTACCTTTTCTCCCACTGAAGTCTTATTTACAGGTTATGACTGACATGACAAAATATGCAGACTAAAAATTGATAGCGATAAAGATGAAGGGGAAAAAAATCAGTTGCATTTTCTGTTAACTATGTGCTTTTCAATACCTTGTGGATAGTCTTTTTATTCTGTATCTCTTCTCAGCATGTCCCCATTAATCTTTTGAAATTTGGGCTTTTCTTTTGCAAAGAAAAATGAAGTCTTAAATGAGTTTTAAATGAAGAAGCTCTATTTATCCAAGCTTTTTCCTACTGCCAGACAAGCTTGACCACCTGGAACATTAATACAATATTTATCTTCTCCCCAGATCCCTTACTATTTTTTGTAAATAAATCTACCTGTTAAATTGACATTTACCTTACAGTTTTCATCTGAGAACATTTCATCCTGCTATCCTGAACTTCCCTTCATATTTGTTTTGTTATTTAAAGTTAATAATGGGGAGGGGCAAACATTAAGAATGGATACTTAATTATTAAATAAGAAGAGTACATGGACATGATAAAATAATTACTAGCAACTTTTTAGCACTTAAGACATAACAGTTTCAGGTTTGTCCTGATTAGTATGGCATCAGAAAGAACCAAAAGTTACCCTGGGCAACCAAGACCTAAATAAAATAACTTCAGTATCAGAATCATAAATTATATATTTTTAAATGACTAAACATTTTTAAATAATAAAAATTCTTTACAGTGGGTAACTAAATTACTCAAGGAATAGTTATCCAAATAATAGTTAATCAGATAAAAAAATCTAAACAGCTAATAAGAAAGCTTAAAATAAAATTAGCCACAATAAACACACCAAACTGTTCTTCTAATTGGATGTGATGTTTACCATTTGATGTGCTGAGTATATCACTCATTACTCACTATGAGCACAGTATGTCATGGTATTAGTTAACAGATATGTGATGACAAGTTTCATTCATGTATATACATACACAGTTTGGATTTAATTACTACAAAGTTACATACCACAAACAAACATGATATATACTACTTTTCAAAATGCAGATGCTTTCATCAAGGGAAATTTTAGAATAAATTTTAATATATAAAATAAAAATGAAACAAACAAACAAAAAGAACTAGGTTGCTTTGGCTAAAGCAAGGTAGGATTAAGAGAGATGTTTCCGTCCTTCAATTATTGATGGTTAAAGGGTATTTCAGAATATGGGTTGAAACCACTGTTCCCAGTATATCTTCGTTACTTTACAAAGGTCAATAACAAAACTTCTTCTCCCACTATATAGGCCCATATGAAAATTTTATAGTAATGCAACTGAGTATAAAGTTAAAAAGTAACACTTTCTCTGTTTTAAAAATAACAAAATAAAGTCACTATTCTATATAAAACCACATTACAGTATTTTAACCTCATAATCTTCCTGTGCTACATGGAAAATGTGACAAGTTTTCCTTAAAGTGCCTAAATTTTAAAGACTTAATTTTTTCCCATATAAATATTAGCCAAAATATATGAGAATGGAAGGTAATAAGTGGAAATATTGTTTTTCTATATCAAACATGTATCTTCTACCTGATCAGCCAATTTAAATATTCTGTCTGGCTCAAAAATACTAACTTCACCTCAGAATATTCAGATAGAGAAACATGCAAATAGAACTGATCTGGTATAATAACATCTGTAAGGGAAACCCTGATGAACTGATTTGGTTTTGTCTTACACAAACCATTCATCTCTTTGTTCCAAACAACTCCACATTTATGGAAAGACTACTTTAATCCATGCAGTTGATATTAGCAAAATACAAATAACATGTTCTCTTCTGTAAAGATTATAATTAAGTCTCTCAAATACAATAAATAGACTCTTTAATAATTTGAAATCCTATCAAATATTTTATACTTGTCAAGTCTCAGTCTGTCTTCTTTTCTAATACATCCTTGGGCGCTTGCACAGTAGGCAGTAGAGATCCTCCCCCGCTTGGCTCCTGCTGCTCTTTGCTCTCTTCTATCTGTTCTTGACCTTCCATTTCACTTTTCGACACCAGTTCATATCGCTCTTCTATGTAACCTCCATCAGTGTCAGCTGTGTAGATCCCGTAGCACATGATACTGATGACACCCAATGGCAAGCCAAAGAGAAAGCAGCCCATAAGTGGTGAGCTCTTGAATATAGACTGTGGAAAGATAATTAAAATTCAGTTACCCTCAAAGTAATTTTGATATAAAAAGCATACAATATACTTAAAATCACTAAAGATTTTTTCTTCTTGATATTTAATTTTCTTTTAGTTCCACCCAGTGAATATCAATATATGAGCAATAAACTACCTATGTTAAAGACACTGTAAGAGATACAAACTCCATCTCCATGAGTGCATTGTGTATGTGCACTTGTGTGTATGTGTGTGTGAACAGAACCAGCTATTTGCAGCAGAAAAAGAGAGAAACTTCTTTCTAAAGACATTTATTTTTTCTCACACTAACCAATGTCTCTCTTCAGATGGTTTCTGTGTGCCAAACACGTTTTGATCATTGGCAGTATAGGAATCCATAGATGAAGAAGACTAGGAGACTAACTATATGTATATATATACACACACATACACACACACACACACACACA